CCTGACCCAAATGACAGCAGCAATGACACAGTTAATTAAGAAGTCCAGACCACAGCTTGGTGGGAATAATACAATTATTGTGGATAAGTATTTAAAGAAATTTCAAGATATATGTTCACCTTTGTTCAAGGGAATTGAAGATCCAATTGAAACAAAGAATTAGTTGATGATGATAGAAAATATTCTAGATAGCATGACATGTCTTGATAAAAGAATAGTGTCGTTAGCTACAATTATGCCGAATGAAGAAGCTGAAAGATGGTGTCATGGGCAGTCAAAACAGTCTACGAAATATACCCAACATGATTGTAAGTTGGGAGGATTTTGTGAAGCTTTATAGAAAATGGTTTGTACCCTTATCCACTCGAAAACAAATGCAAAACAAGTTCATCAAGTTAGTGCAAGGAGAGAAGACAATTGTGCAATATGAAGCAGAGGTCACAATATTGACGAGATATGCAACATAATTGATAGCTACTGCAGAAGAAAAATACTATAGATTCCTTTCTTGATTAAAGAATTCAATCAAAAAATCTTTGGTGACATTGGGGATTGATGATTATCAGTATTAATAGAGCAAGCTAAAAGAGTGGAGATCGATTATCAGTTTATTAAGAAGTGTAAGGAGAGAGATGCACACGAGGAATAGTATCGATAAAGGAGAGCATGTGGATCAATCAGAGGGATCCATTGGGAAGAAGCCCAAGTTCAATTCTGATAAATTCAGTAATAGTGTTTCTCAAAGTACTGTAGTCACTTCTGTGTCAAATGTGAAAAACAACATAGAGGTGAATGTTTGATGGGCTCTCATACATGTTACTGGTGTCGTCGGACTGGTCACATGGCTAGATATTGCCCTTCACTTGGCCAGAAAATCTCAGAAAGACAAATATCAGTTGGAGCTTCTTCACAGAAGGATGCAAGTAAACAGAGAATGATAGAGTCTACAGCTTCAGCTCCTACTCAAGCTCAACCATTACATGTTCAACCTCGAGTTTATTCCCTTACTAATAAAGAGCCTAAAAAATTTGTAGCTGATGTTGATGCTAATATGGACTGGTGAGTGTTATGTTTTATTATATATTATAAGGGTGTCATTCTAGTGTATTTCTTTTGTAAAGGATGTGTGTGTATTTTTTTTGTTATATTACTTTTTTTAGATATGATGTTATCCTTATTATGTTATATTGTTTTGTTGATGGGAGAAGTTAGTTGAGTTATCTTGTGTTAAACATTTGTTTTATTGTATCAACTTTTCAACTTAATGAATGAGATAGAGAACTTTTATTAATAATAATAACAATAATAAATTTTATAGATAGTTCATTTGTTACCTATAATAAGAAGAGGATTGTGAGAGACTTATAAATTTTGAACATAATCTTATGAGGGGAGTTTGTAATAACCAGAAAAAAATAATAATAATAAATATACAGTTTAATGTATGCAAGATTTTTTTAATTTATATACAATCGCCACAGAAGCACCTTTTAAACTCATACTGATGAAGGTACATCAATATCAATATTTTTTTAATTTTCATGCACAGGTACAATTTTCATCAGCTAGTATCATGAAGGTCAATCATGCACACGCGAACATGCCATAAATCATTTCATTTGCTATATATTCCAATATCTTTCTTTTATAATATGTGTATGTAATAAATAAACATAATTATGCAAATCATTCATAAATTATCAATTTGAATAATAAAATATAATAATCATACTCTACTTACAGTACCAATGTATAATGTCGTTCTAATGCGAGTGATTTAGATGAAATGCATTATTGTTACCATAATTTAAAAGTAAAAATTCTTACATTGCTCAATTAGCTTAAAATCCAATCTTTTTATTCCAACTTCACCTCCTTTAGCTTGACATCTAAAAAAAAAGTTTATAATAACTAATTATATGCTTAGTTGAAGTTTTTTACGCTTATGTCTATGTTTAATCCTAACATCCCCTTACTATTATTTTTTAAATTAATTTCATTTAATTAATGATTATGATAATTTTTATTTATTTATATTTAACAATTCTTTAATTTCTATACTTAATGAGTTTATTTATTTTTATAATAATTATTATTAAAATATATAAATAAATCTTACCTCTCAACCTTCGATTAAGCCCTCGACGCACCCAATCACGCTCCTGACTTCACACCAAACTGTGGAATCATAAAGGAAGATGTGACAAGCGGATGTCTGCTCGACCATTTTTTAGAATCACCTTGAATGATCATATTAGATAGTAAAAACATTCAAATGTTCTTAGATTAATTTACATAAAGTTTAATTGGAATGTATCTTTTTTTTTATTATAGTTTAGAAGAATGAATATTTAATGGCTATGGTTAACTCACTATTATTTTAAATTAATATTTCAAATTAAATGATGACAATAGAAGAGAAGATATTTATAATAGACGCTACGTGGACAATGAAAATTTTAATTTAATTTCTTTAGTAGTACTTTCATTTCAATTAGGTTATAAATTCTTAGTTATAGAAAAATTAATTTCCACTGCCTAACCGTCTATTCCCGCCTTGGTTAAGATTTTTATATGTGACATTGTGAAATGTTGTTTGTGTTGAACACACATTTTATGTTTGCCTTCTAACATGTTGATTGGATGTGGTGTCAACATTAGATTAAGACTATATATGTGATATTCTATAAAGAATCAAGCACATAGAAAAGTAGCCGAATGTAAAAATAAGTACTAATATTTTTTTTTGCAAATGTTTTCTAGCTTAGCCCTCTTACAGGGCACAATTCATTGTAAGTTGCATCATTTATCTATTGTGCATATTGGCCTTTGTTTTTGTATGCTTAATGTCTCATATCTTAACTTCAAAATATTAGTTTTATATAAATTTTAGGTCAGATTGTATTTATGGGGAGCTCGACCACTTTCGTTTCCTTTCTTACCGGATGAAATTATAAAGCTCGGCTAGAGCCGGCCGTTATATAATCTATTGTAATATGTGTTTAATTATATATTGAGTGTTGTTTCATGTGCTTTATTAATCTATCCTATTTGTTTGGGTTCATGCACATGTTTAGGTGCATAAGATAAAATTATCATTTTTAAAAAGTTTTAAACATTTGTAAAAAAACTCTAATTGATAGAGAAAATATTAAAGATTTTTATTGTTGTGAATTTTCATGGTGTAATCGATTTTAAGAAAAATTATATTTTTGGATTCTTCTTTGTGACTGAGAATCCATAGGTCACAATTTTTACTTCCTGTACGCATCATAAAAGAGAATTCAGGCCTGCATTAAACTAAAGTTGGCTCACATACATGTTATAGCCTTACATATAAGCATATTACTAAAGCATCCACATTAGAAATGGATAATAATGCACCATACTATGTTCCTAAAATATCAGCTTCTCACCCAAATGATTGATCACATGATTTATAATCACTTAGATGGTTGTTTAGAAGGTACGAGGAATTCAATGATTATCCTGAACCTGATAAAATTATAAACCAAGCTGAATAGTCTCTCTTGTGGTCAAGCTATTTTCTCCTCTTTTCTTTCTATAGACATCTCATCATCTTCTAAAAGAAATTATTCCTCATCCTTTCTACTAGATTAAGTCATAAGTTTTCAGTTCGCGTTTCCTTGGCTTAGTTCATAAAGTTTCCTAGAACAACGCAATTTTGTGGACCGTTGATAAAGAATTCTTGATTGCATTGGGCCTACTACCTCTGCAACTAAATAGATTTGAAATCTGATAACCAAAAATAATGGATCGATAAAATCTTGACCGGATTATGCCCACCAACTTTAAAATTTCTAACCTATCCTTGGACCCTATTTTCAGCCGATTTGGAGTCCTTTGATATATAATTTGTGTTGTTTCACAGTCCCTCATGTCATGCGAAGGGTAACCACCCATAAGGGTATGATGATTCACCAGCTATCGCATAGCCCAATTAGGCTTTGAGACATAAGGTATCGCGTATTGAAACAGGACAAACTACAAGATCATTTCATCTTATACTCCTCAACATATTTTAGAATAAAAGCAATTTTTTTTAATCGCGTCATTTGGGCATCCTTCAAATTATAATTAATCAAAGGACCATGTTATATTGTGAGAGCTTATGTACCCAGAATAAAAATTAATTTTGATTCTCTGATTACATGTGAAGGGCCTTCATAAGTCACTTTTTGGAGATTTGAATGTGCCAAATTGGTCTGATTTTCTCGGGCATCCGTTCCTTATCTTATAAGGCTATCCTATGAAAATCCTCCACACCTTTTTGTTTTGTTCATTTTCTTACTATTTTCCTCTCTCTTTTCCTCTCTCTTTCTCTCTTTTCTATTGCGATTGAGATCCTTATCATAATGTGATGTGATGATTTTAATAAAGAGACTCCTTAAGAGGGAATATATAGATGGATTATTAGAATTTAACAAAAAGGGGGCAAACAAAGCATCATACAAAGTATCACAAGTTCATGATTTGTTCGTATCTATTTTCCATCACATTATATTTCAAAATAAAGGCAAAGGTTATTGTTGTTGGAGAGTAGATGTTTTAGATTCGACTTATGCAAAGAAAGGCAGAAGCAGAGGTAGACCTAAGAAGACTTGGGCGTACTGTATAAAAAATGATCTTAATTTATTAGAACTAAATGAAAATATGACAATAAATAGGAAGCAATGGAGAAAAAGGATTAATTTAGCCGACCCAACATAGTGGGATTAAGGTTTTCTTGTTGTTGTTGTTGTTGTTGTTGTTGTATATTTCAAAACAAAGCTAGTAAATAATTCATAGAATAAAAAATGCATGTTAGTCATTTTAATAAGTCATCACACATGTCGTAAAAGATAGAGTAGGAAAATTAACTAAGACAAATATATGTGAAGTTCTAACATAGCATGCGATAGTACGATGCTCAACGATATCTACAAAACATAAACATGTTAAATCATGAGAAGGTATGAACTTGATGCCGAACATTATACCTTTGCTTGCTTAGAAATTTCATGTAAAACCTTGTTGTAACTCTGCTTGCAGATGGTTGGAGGAACTTCTATGCTTAATTGAATCTGTAATATGAAAAATAGTTTATATAAAAGCTAATTTAAAAAAAATAATAAATAAATAAATAAACCGAAATGTTTCAATATAGGCCTCATTATATGATATAAGAAACAAAATATAGCTTCATACTCTACCCAATCCCTTGAAATAATTAACACAAAAGAATTGCTAAAAAAAGAAATGAAGAAAGTAATTTAGTTGTAATATGTTAGTTTACTGTGGCCATTTCACCTTTGGTGAGGATCCTTAGTCTTCTCCATAGCATACTCTGGTATGTTAAGGTGTAGAATCTTTCATATTGTTAAATTTTGAGATAATTATTGCAAGGAACTAGACTTGAAAATCTCTTTTTTTTTTTCCTGTTTGTCGACAATAGGTATAGGCCAATGGGCGAGATAAAAGTGGTTCATGGCATGATGTAACATGTTTTGTTCTAACTGTCAGGGAACAACAAGCAAGACCCTGTAAGGCAACAAGTAGCTTTTCTCAATGACATTATCCGACAGGCCTAGGGTCTGTTTGGGGCAGTTGCAGCTTATCCAGCTTAACCAAAAAAAACAGTTTATCCTGATAAGCTGCTGATCAGCAGCTTATCTTGATAAGCTGGCTGGCTGATTGGGGCAGCTAATTGAAAACAGTTGATTTGCAGTTATTTGTAGATAAATGATCATTTTGTCTCTGCTAAGTAATGTTATTTGTAACAGAATTGTCTTGACAATATATTCAATACTGCAGAAGCAAAGAAGTATATTTTATTTTTTAGGGTGTATCTATTTTTTGAATCATCTTATTTTTTATCCCTAAAAGTCTCATCAAACTTAATTAGCTAGACACAGTTTTTCATTATAATATATAAGATTGGAGATCAGAGATACAATTTGATGCGGCATTGGTCATTGGAAACTAATGGTTGTTTAGCCATTGTGCAGATGTTATGGAGAAGATTTGGTGCAACTTTAAGCCAGAAAATACTTTTTGGATACATACAAACAATTAGCAAATTAATCCTTCAAACGCGGAGTGCAGGGAGGAGCGGAGTCTAATCACGACAGGGAATAAATTAATTATAACGAGAAAATAATAACAGTATAAGTTGGAGCACCATAGCTCTCTAAAGTCTGCTCATCCTTCAAACGCTCACCCTGCAAAGGCGGAGTGCAAGGAGGAGCGGAGGAGCCGAGTGCAGGGAGGAGCGGAGTGCAGACCAGCAGAACCCAAAACTGCATCATCTCGCACCCCTCGAATCTTCCTCTTCTCCTATTTATCCCTACCACAAAGCTGCATCGCTTGAACGAACCGTCCCGATACAGTCGCCATTAGAGCTACCTGGGAATACAACGACGGGATCGCGGCTTACATAGACCACCAAAACTCCCATCTTTCTCATCCTTGCACGCCACTCCTATCAGAAATCCACATGTTCACGCCATTCTTCCGAGGTCGCGGGCAGCGGAGTAAACATTCCCGAACGAACACGAGACTCGGGGTCGACCCCGCGGCCCGCGTTTATTAAGAAATTAAATACGTCATTTTTAAAAACGCTGACAGAACATCCAAACCAAACTGAAAGGCGGTGTTTTGAAAACGCCACCGCACTTTTAAGTTGCCCCAAACGGAGCCCTAGTTTAACAAATTTAGGGCTTGATAAGTGTATACATGACAAAAATTAGGGCCAAGTGACTATATGTTGGTTGGATGCATATGGCATGATATGCAAGTGAAAACTCATTTACCATTGAGGTTGTTTTTGTTGAATTTAGGATTAAAAATATAATAATAATGATATTTTGAAGTAATGTTAAAATATTGAAGTGTTATTAATATATATATATATATATATATATATTAAGAATAATACAAAAAAATAAAATAATAAATTTTATAGCATCACCTTTAAAAAATAAAATATTCATAATAAGAAATATCAGCACATGCGAGTGATTAATGAATCGCTCAAGCTCATCCCTAAAAAAAAAAATCGAACATATAGGTTTAACCCTTGAATAATTTTTTTTTATTCTACTTATTAAAAATATACCATAGATGTTTACAATATATTTTTTGAAATTTTATAATTCAGCAAATTAAGACACGTGTCTCCTTTATTTTTAATATTATTTAAACTGGACATGTCGGGATGTGTCTGACACGTGTTTGGGGCATGTCGGGGCAGTATCGGTGTCTGAGAAGTGTCTGGCACTGCGCGGCACCTTAGTGAGAAGTGTCAGTGCATCATAATTTGATAGAAAGGGTCATTTTGGTTTTGAATATTAAGTTACTTAAGAAAAAATCAGATCAGCAAAAAACAAAATAAAATTTAAAATTTAGTTTTTGTAATTACTTTATCTATATTTGTGTAACTCTTGAATCTACCATTTATGCTTCTTTGAAAATATTTTGTAATTTAGTGACGTAATATTATTATCACTCTAAATTCAATTCTACCAACTATTTGATTTGATTTAATTAATTTCATAATTCCATCAACCAATCCAACCGAGCTAATCGAATGCACGCCCTTCTTTTAAGATTTCAAAACTTAGTTTACCAATACTGAGCATAATAAACCAAACAATATTGTGTTTTGACTAGGTTTGATTCTATTTACGATTTGAATGATTTGGTTCTAGATATACTTTGGTTAGGTTTAGTTGGTTTAACAAATATGTCAACTGTTGAATCTGAATGTTATGTAGGCATGCCTAAAGCATAGAGCGTCAGAACCGAGAGAGAGAGAGAAAGAGAAGGTGATGCTACGACTGCCCCCGGCGGGGTAAAGTGGGGGTCTTACCCGGACTCGGTGACCCCTTTCATATATTAAGAGACTATTTACAGTATAAGAGGAAAGCCAAAATGATATAAAAGTAGAAACTTTCCCTTGGGAGTTATTTTCGTTTGCAGATCTTCATGTCCTTGGCACTCTTTTGTATAGGCGTGGCACCTATTCGCATTCAGAGGCATTTTTTACTCATACACATCAACCAATCTATCCAAAACAATTGAATGCAATTGAGTGCGCGCCCCTAGAGAAGTATTTTAAAATATGAGCAATATTGTTGATTGAAATGATGTGCTCTATAACTTATAATATATTCAAGCAGTTGGGCATCAAATATTATTTTGCTTCAACTTGTATGTACTTGTATATAGATTTTAGTTTATACCAATTTTCGCTCTTCTTTACCTATTTTTAGAGCATCAAGAAGAAAAAGGAATATTTCAAAGGAGATGGCAATGGCTACAAAAGAAAAAAATAATCACTTAAAAACTAAATGTGCTTAAATTAAAAATTAAAAGGTATATCATAATGTAGATTTTATTTTTTTCATAAATTTGCATCATTGTTCTATTGTTTAAGTCATGCTAAAATAGTTTGAACATTTATTAAATTATTTAATTCAACCTATGTTGAATCTTGAACCTCTCTTTCCTCTTGTTCCATGTTCAATACAATTTTCAAGATCATAAGCCTAAACAAATTAGAGTCTAATCTTGATCTCCCTCATACGTTAAAATCCATAGGGAAGTTTTTCTTAATGATTAATATCATGGATTACTAAAAAAATATTTCACACTGTAACTGACCTCAAACTAATTAGACACCTCACAATACTACTTATTATATATATTCATGGTGCAAAATAATATGAGCTATGGCACATTACGTGGTGTGGCGCACCAAAATAATACACTATTTATGCCAACACAAGCAACGGCACATGACGCATTGCACCAACGGGCGCGCTAATTTAATTTTTAAGGTTTAATATAGGTGTGTGTGCACACGTGCGTGCGAGCACAAGCCCGCATTTGTGCACGTGCGCGTGTATATAAACAAATATGTATTAGGTATTTATGCATATATATGTATCTATCCATATACAGACATGTATTCCTTGACATATTCTCACAGAGGTGGAAACCGGTACTCTCGCGTCCCCTTGGCGTTTTTCTCTAGTGGGGAAATTCTTTTATGGTCACCCGAAACTGGAGATCATTAGGGTCACCCAAAACTGGAGATCATTAGAAGGATTTTGATGCTATGAAACTATTGGGTAGTTGGAACATTGGCCTACTTGACGGTAGACAAATACTTATTCAGCTTTCTCATGATGTCGATTACACTCGCATTTTCTCACGAAAAACTATCAGGATTGGCAATCATTTTATGAAAATTATGAAGTGGACTGTCGATTTTGATCCAAAGGCGGAGTCCCCTATTATTCTAGTTTGGATAAAGTTTCTGGGGTTAAAATTACATCTGTTCAACATGAAAATCCTCGACTCTTTAACAACTACTTACGGTAAGTCTCTCAAGGTGGATAGCCCTACGCTTGTTGTCACCAGGCTATCTGTGGCTTGTGTGTTAGTTGAGAGAGATATCACTCAACCAGCTCCGGATGAGATATGGATTGGCACTATGCACAACGGGTATTGACAAAAGATTAAAATGGAACTAGACCCTCCTTATTGCTCTCATTGTAGTATGTTTGGCCACAACTCTACTATTTGTTATCGTTTGCATCCTCATCTAAGGTCGAATATCGCTAAAAAACAGCCACCTATTATCCCTGTTAAGAAGATGCAACCCGATTCTCTTCCCAACACTCAATATACTACAGCTACAGGTCCAGTGGTGCTTATACCACCCACTGTTATTGAAAAAGACTCACTTACATGTCAAGACACACGAGAGTGCTCCTTTGATCCAATAACAGATCAGCCAGTACAACATCTAATTACTTCTAATGTTCAACAATCTGCACATCTCCAGCACACTTTAGACCAAGATCAGGTGAGTCAATCTTCGGAAGAAGAATGGCAGGTCTATTCCAGAAGGAAGAAGAAGAATGAAGGCCGACTCCAGCTCGGGAACATATTGGATGATACATTGGTTACTACTGAAAATGTCAATCATCTTACCAATTTATTAGCCTGCTCCTTTCGAAGAACCAGTAATTTAGAACCAGAGGCAGAGGCAAAACCAAATTGGGTTGTTCTCTAGCCACCTGATAATATGTATTTCAACTTTTTTAGGCTTTTTCTTACGTCTCTAATGTACTTCTCAGTAATTTCTAGTTTTGGTACCCCTTATGGTTTTGGTGTGGGCAGGGTGTCCTGTTTGGGCCCTCCAACACATTGTATCAGTATCTTTTTTTTTAGTTAATATATTAGCCTTTTTAGGCTTTCTATAAAAAAAATGTATTTTTTGACGTATAATGATCATCATGATTCATCGGATATTTCGTGTATTCTCTAATGAAAAAAAAAAATAGGCTTAAAAAAAAATAACATTTTGAATTTTAAACGATTAAGTTGTTAATACTTGAATTTGAGCATTATTTTTATTGAGTTTATTAACATTGTGGTTTACCTTTCAACTTAATAGTCTTTTATAATTACATGCATTTATTAAAAATTTTTAAATATTTTACACCATGTTTAAAATGAAGTTCATCACACTGTGTGTTATACACTTTGTCTCCACGAGATCTTTTGTGATATGGTGTGCCCTTTGTTATTCACAAAAAAGCCACACATCAATCCTGTCTACAAAAACTTATTCAATCTCACAACAACTTTCGAAGGGTTACATGGTAAACAGTATGCCCATAAGATAATTTCAACATCTAAAACCTTAAGAAAAAAAAAACATGGAATCTATAATTTAAAAAACTTCTAATTGCATATGACTGAGATGCTATGGGCCCATTTGGTTGATTGAAATTAGATAATATGCTTTAAGAAATAGTAAAACTTCCAAGAACCATCATTTAGTTGACTTTAGTCAAAAATCATTAATAATTTTAAACTTCCTAAGACCCGAACAAGTTAATAACATCGTTTTAACACAAAAAATAAGTAAGAATAAAATCATTAATTCTTAAAAGATTGCTTTTAACAATAAGATATTAGACGCACCCTAAGCTATATTGCATGATATCAATTGTGCATACATCAATCAAATTAAGCACGAGGAAATTCTGCACTGCAACCGCGCACAAAGCATAATGGCATTATATTCGATAAAGATATTAGATTTATTATTTACAACTCGTACGCTTTTAGACTGCCATAGTATCGATACCTAACCGCTAGTGCCCAATGAAATTTCCACCATGTACAAAACATCCAAGGTTACAACATCAAAACAGCCAGAATCTCTCATTGGCAAGAAACTCCATGGAATGAAAAAAATCAATAATTAATGAACAAATACGGTAAATCTGCTAAGAGAAAACATATGGTAATATCTCACACTCGAATATGGCTTTTTTGCCTCCGTGACCGTGATGGGGAATTGAACCTTCTCCTCCTTCTCAGCGGAAGCAGCAGCAGCGGAGACGGTGAGCTGTCGAGGAGTTCGGCGAGTGGAGTAGAAGAGACGAGGTAGTAATCGGCCGGAGGGGAAGAGAGGTGAGCCTCGCGATTGAGCGGGGCAAAGGTCTTTAATGGTTGAGGAGAAAGGTAAGTCAGTTTTAGGGCATCGAGGACGTGGAAGTGTGGCCGCGCCGACGACCAGAGACATTAGAGCTAGCCTCGTTTCTGCTGTGGATATGCTATGGAGCGGGAAGCGTGAAAGGGAGTGATGAAGGGAGAAAAGAACGAGCAGAGGAAGATCGAACGGAGCCGGGAGTTCCAGAATCGAAAAATCGAACCGACATAATTTAATTTTAATTTTAAAATATTTATTATTTGATTTTGTTTATTTTAAATCATTTTTAAATTCATTAATCTAAATAATTTGAAAAATAGAATAATATTACGTTTTGAAAATTAAATTCAACTGGAATCAAATGATTAATTAACTACAGCGCTGCGCATAATTCCACTATTTCATTAATCATGCAATCAATTAAAGAATAGGTAGAGATGATGAATAGAATCTCTATCTTAATTTCTAGTGAATTTATGTTAAATATTAAATTTTGATTTGCTTAAAATCAAATCAATTAAATTATATATTAGTTTGGTTTTAAATTGATTTTAGTTAAAAGTTGATCTATTTATTTTTTGTATTTTAGATTTTGATTTGATTCAATCTGACCAATTTGTAAGCTGATTCATCCCAATTAATTATTTGCAAACCCCATAATATTGAGTTGTTCAATATAATAATTAAGGGTTCATGTTATTGTAAAATTATTTTATAGATAATATTTTTTTTTAATTTATTTTAGGGATTATAAAAACTTCTTTGATAAAAAAAATATTAAAGATATTATACTATGATAGATCTCATTCTCAAAAGGAGCTTCTAATCACATGATTTTAAAAAGTAATAAATATGAACAATTATTGTAAGTAATAAGAAATTTCATTAAAACTATCGTAATTATGGTAAATAATTTTAAAAATTTTGTACCACATTTTTCTTATGATTTCCAAAAATAACTAAATAAATTGGTAATGAGATATAGCTTTATCACAATCTTGAGATAGAGTAGATATTATTTGCTTTTATTGCTATGAACAATAGACATCATGTTTGCATTTATGTTTTATTTATTGCTTGGTTATGCCATGGTATAAGGTATGACATACTTTGTTAAAGAGCCTGTCGGTGACATTGCTCACAATTAGAAACCCATACAAAACTTCATTCTCTTTAGTGCAAAAGTGAAAAGTAATGTCTACCAATTTTGAGTGTTTTATAATGAAGATGATGCATTAAATTCGTAATGTAAAAGATGATGTGGTCTCTTTTCAATAACAACAATGATAGATGTGATGATCATATCAACAAAAAGAGGATTTAATGTAATGCATTAAACTTTAAGGCATGCATATTGATTTTATTTAATTGTTTTTTTAAAGTTTTACACTTTAAAGAAGATCAAATTCCGTGTTTGTGGACTGGTTATTATGAATTTGAGTCAAGCATGAGACATCTTTCAAAAGAACCCATAAAGATGGTGTCAATTTCCAAGCCATCGACATGGTTCATCTTCATACCAAAGGCTATTTTTATTAGAAATGAGTTGTACATGCACTATCTTTGAAGGTTTTGGAGATATAAAATGAGAAATGTGTCATGTATGTATGGCACGTAAACTCAAAGGAGGAATGATTACATGGCCAATTCATTATGTTATCTAATTAAGGACGGCAACCAAGGCAAGTTGGAATAAATGCAACTTTAAGGCCCGGTTTGGGGCAACTTTTTTATCGCGGTGCATCTGAAAACGCGGGACCACTTATCTAAATCACTGTGTGACCACTTATCTAAATCATTTATGTTAAATGCAGGTCGTGGGTTCGACCTCGCGGCCCGCATTTTCTAGCAACCCTATTACAGTAATAGCCCTCTGCGTTTCTTCTCTTTTGCCCACGTGTCTCTTAATTGCGATTGCATTTCTTCTACCCTTGTCTCTCTCAATCGCTCTTCTCTCTCTCTCTCTCTCTTCTGCCTCTCTTCGGTGGCAACAGGTTGCCTTTGTCCTTTACCTTTTCCCTCCGATCTCTGGTAGGAACAGGTGGTTCTCTACTCTCTCTTTTCCCTCAGATCTTCGGCTTTCTCTTCTATTTACCGTGCACTTTGTCCTCCCATGGTATCGCCTATATTTTTCAATGGAATGACTTTCTCTTCGTATTTTGTGGCTTTCTAATTTGTGGTTTGAAGCAGAAATTTGGATTTTGCAATTTGCGGCTTTCTCTTTATGATTTTAAATTTGGTTTTTACTAATGTGTGGCTGATGGAATGGTGTTTTATATTTACCTTTGGTGTTTCAGTGAGAATTCGCAAAATGATTGAAAGAGGGTGCTTGGTTTGAATGTTTCGGGTGCCCAGAATGGCTGATGGAATAAGGTTTTATTTTTACTTTTGTTGTTTGAGTGGGAATATGAGAAATGGCTGAAAGTGGGTGCTTGAGTTGTTGATAACAATGTGTGGTGGTGGTACTTAAATGAGTTTTGTGGCTTTCTCATTTGTGGTTTGAAGTGAAAATTTGGATTTTGTGATTTGTGGCTTTCTCTTTATGATTTGGAATTCGTTTTTGGGAATGTGTGGCTGATGGAATGGGGTTTTATCTTTACCTTTGGTGTTTCAGTGGTGTTTCAGTGAGAATTTGATTTGAGAAATGGTTGAAGAAGGGTGCTTGATTTTTTTTTATAGCAAAGTTCGAGTGCTTTGTATGTACTTCGTGGTATATGCAAAATCTGGGTTGAGGTTTTATCTTTAGCTTGGATGTTGAGTGAGATATTGAAAAATGACTGGGTGATGGTGCTTGATTTGTTGGCAGCAATGTTTTCGGGTGCCTTATATGCAGCAGCCTATGTGAAAAATATGGGGTGGGGTTTTATCTTCATCTTTGGAGTTTGTGTGGGAATTTAAGAAACGCATAAAAAAGTGTGCTTGATTTGTTGATAGCAATGTGTTGAGGTTGTGGTTAGATTTATAGTTTGATG